GTAGGGATGCATACTTTCTCTCATTTACAGTCTGATCTGCGTCAGATCATATTTCTTATACACATTAATTTTATCCTTAGCTTGTATGACTGTTGCTTGATAGTTTGTTTCTGACTGTTAGTCTATCTGTCACTAACGTCACAGACAATCTGCTTCCAGCTAGTTTGTGTATCTTTATGGAGAAGTTCGCCTATGTTAGATTTCTCGCGACTGTTCTTTATGTTCTTGCTCACCAGGTGTGATGTATTCTGTTGTATTAGATGTTATTTTTAATTGGGATCTGTTGTTTTATTAACCTGCTATAGTCTGAAGGATAGTTGGGTTTTTATTTCTGTGGTAATAACGCTAGTATTCTATTCTAGTTCAAAGAGCATTTTATTTCATTTGGCACGCCATGGATTAGTGGAAGTGCATAAACTCCACGGGTTATTTGGAAACCCAGAAATTCAAGATAATAAGATAGCCAAAGTCATATGTTGATTAAGTACGAGACGGTGGACGAGTATTATACAGATGAATAATCCCGTGGAAATATTTTTTTTTGGAAGTTGGTTAGTTGCTGAACCCGAATTAGTTGGGAGAAAGTATAAAGGTGAATAATACACAGATCGAACACCCACAAACTGGAAAGGTAAATCTAAATTCTCAGGCACTCTGCGTAACGACTCAACTCCATGCATCCAAGCTGTATGTGTGAGAGTCAAGAATTTGCTATCTCGAAATCCCAGCACCTAATAGTATTACATTAACAGAGACTCAAGTATTGACACTTCATTACTGTTCAAACAAATGCCCTACAGACAATCAATATGTGTACAATGAATCTCCAACATATCGTTTACCGCAATACCAGGGAAATAACACTCATTGAGGTCAAACAATCGATTTTGGTGATTACTAGACACAACAGTATCTGAGTGCTGACACACGCTTAATTAATCATCATGCGTAATTTGCCCGCTCCGTTCATCCGTGATTCCGGTAATCCAGTCCTCTAATTGTCTAGAGCTAACTTCAGTCTCCTCAGTTAAACTCTGTTGCCTCGTGTTCTCTCGCCCATTCTTTGTTACTGTTTCTTCTAATTTCCCATTTTGCTTCGTTCTGCTATTCTTTCTGTTCTTCTAAGTGTCTTCCATCATCATCTGCATTAAAATCTGGATGGTATCTACCCGGCCCTTCCTGAATTCGGTTTCCTGCTGCCTCGTTTCATCGTCGTCGATTGTAATTTCCCACCTTTTTATCAAACACATCTCTGCCATCGAACGTGTCATCTAATCGGCTTCCACTTGCACTATTCCACTACCTTTCCAAAAAAAAATACTCTCCCGATTTCATCTGTATCATCTACTCGCCCACCGTCTTCGTCCTTATTCCAACCATTAGCTTGCGCCTCCATCTTAATATCTTGAATTTACTTGTTCGTCCCCAAATAAACCGTGATGTTTACTGCGACCTTTCCAACTAACCTTCCCAATGGCTCAACACTGCAATAAATGCTCTTTGCTAGTTTCTAGCCGGTATTACACCTTTTTCTAACACCCATTATCACTTCAAGATCTACAGTTAATAAACAACAGATCCCAAATTTCATCTAATACACAAATACACCGTTTCTAACAAAAACAAATCCACAGGTCACATTATCACTACACACTAATTCCGCTTCTAATATATAAACAACATCCATCAAATTAAACCAATATACACTAGTAAAAATTTCTTTTAAAAATTATTAACATCAAAATTCAAAATTGTGCAAGTTCACTGCTACACTTTTACCACTGATTTGATATCTCTCAATTAACTCCATATGTTTTTGACAACCAACCCCACACCCAATTTTAGTTTGATACCGTCCCTCTAAAACTCCCTCACTAATAATAATAAACATCCAACATGCCCTTTAAAACATTGAATATATCTAACTGCTTACCAAATTGTTTCCAAATACTAACAAAAATATTACACTCTATATACATTAATATTTATCCTCAATCCTATTTATGCACATTGTAAACTTCCAAATGTTTTGTCAAAAGTTCCCCTGGAGCCACATTTCTTGAAATACACGAGTCCATACTGTTCGGCGCGCAAACTGTGACCGTACCCGGAAAACGGTACTCTCACGACAAATAAAATAATATAAAGGACGGCGTCACACATTCTGGTCGTGAATGGCTTCCAGGGGAATTGATTGCTGCATTAGAAGACATTAAGGCATTTGTGCATGTTAGTATATTGAACATTGCTTGTACTGGCTTGGGTGTGACCCCGGCGAAGCTCGTTGGCCATTGCATTGGGGCTAAGCGAGTCAACCGTCCGAGGGAAAGCGACTTCCCGACAGACTTCCGGGGCGGACCGAGTTTGCTCGAAGCATGTCCGCCGCCGTTATGCCACGGCGGCCCCGCTCGCTCTCCAGCCAGCCGGTTCCGTATCGGAAGCCTCAAGTATGCTTACTGCGTGCACGAATGCATTAAAGGACCTTGCCACTGCTATTGTAAAGAATTTCTCTACATAATGTTAATCCATTAAACTTTTAATTGCCACAAAGAGTTTCTTCGATCATTCTATCTAACCTGCAGCGTCAAAAACCCCTGGCAGCCAATCACGAGAATGTACCCCGCTCCTTTATATCATTTTAGTTGTCGTGAGAGTTACCGTTTCCCACGGTACGTCACAAATATATAATATATATATATATATATATATATATATATATATATACACATACATACATGTATTCTACATTGTACAGTGTGGCCACACTTGAGTTTCATATAGAATTTGTTATTGATTTTTAAGCATGAATGCTCAATAATGTTCCCTTACCTCATGAATTATTATTTTTGATCAAAGTATGAGCCTTACACCTTTGGTATTGGTTGGAACGTGTTCAGTAATTAATTCTAAGTTTACATGTATCATTAATTTAATTTATAAACCATTATTTGCATTTTACTTCGAATTTTATGGGTGGTTATTGTAAATTAAATTACCAATTCGTAATATATTTTTTATAATCAAAGTACAAGTTTTATGTGCTTTCTAGCTTGCTACACGGGATCAATAATCAGTCCTAAATCATTATATACTTCAGATTTTGTTTATAACTCTATCTTCCTGTTTTACACTAAAATTGAATATTTTTCTGTGGTAGCCAGAGTGCGGGCTTGTCGCATCCACAATCGATTGTGTCCCTTCCTTCAACAGTTAATTGTAAACTACCAATCGCCAACATATTGCGTTGGTAGCAGGATATTTTCGCCGTTAAAATTAGTCTTGGCGGAAAGATATTTATGTTCAGGCTTATGCTGTATAAACGAGCTACATGCCCGATCCCTCGCGCTTTTGACTTGTTTTCTCGCCCGTGGCCATATGTCACGTTAATTATTTGTGGTATCTAAGGCACATTTGCCGTGGCTCTGTGCTACGTTAATCTTGCATAGTATTGAGCTTAACCTACCAAATTATTCAAATTTTAATAGTATATAGGAGACGTTTTTATGTACATAGTTTTATATTGTAATCTGCTACATTGGATTCGCTCATGCGTTCTACCTATAAGTGTGTTTAATATTTCAAGGTTTTTCATGTGTTTCAGCTAAGGGAGGTATCCCACATGCAAAGGGCTCCATCTCACATTGTTTTATGCATCGCTCTAATCTAAATGTGTATTATGTTTCAGGGCTTTGCTTAATTTTTGAGTTTGCCAGGAGTCGAGAGGCCGAAAGCCAAGCTTCTTCACGAGTCTTTGGACTGGAAGACGTTTCGCTGAAACAAAAGTTGTTTCATCACGCATGTTAGCAGTTTTCGTAAACTGTTCCATGTAGCGTAGTCCCGAAATTCGCAGACTTCACATCCTCCCGGAGCAAGGGGCGCCGCAACCTTAGGAAACTCTGCGACCTGCGAAAAAGGGAACGTGGCCATCAAGGGCCCAAGTTCAATGAAACACAAATAGGTAGAAGGTGAACGCTTAGGTATTTGTTTAAAAGAGCGATATCCAAGCAAATATTGAAGGTGTTTTGGAAAGTAACTATTATACAATTGTCATCTATAATATGCAATTTGCGAGAACGAGTGTCTACCAAGGTATTGGCATTCAATTACAAAGTTGTCGTCAATATATTGACAAGTTTATGAATTTATTGATTGAATTTTGCATTGCGAAATAAATTCAAGTTGTATATGGAAAGATTGATAACATAATTTTTCTCTTCAGTAGAAAGTCTACCTTAGTAGCTGACCCATTGATACGATACCTCTATCCTATTTTTTAGGTTTTCCTAGCTTCGGAAACGATCCCCACGGCATCCGCTAAGAGTCTTATGTTAGCTCGTGTTTGCTAGCAGGTGTACGCTGTGGTCATTTCATTTTTTTCCTTTTCAGGTTGGTGCGCGTGTAATTTAATTGTTTAAATTGTTAAAGTTAAAATGTGCCATTGTTTGTAATATTAAAGTGGCGACCGAGGCAGGACTTGTTTCAGTATTTTTCAGATATTCTAACCGGCCCCTTTTTGTTTTATAACAGGTATCTCATTTTTAAGGTACATAATAGGTCACGGACCTTTTCTATCTCTTCCTTGTCCTATCCTCACCCCTTGCATACATACACTTACACTAACACGCACTACACTATCACACCTACCGGGAGACCAGTCGGGAGCGTAGAGATTTTCCCGGCTGGAGCGATAACCGGCTGGTGGGAGAGACCTGGTTGCGTAAAAACCCCCCTAGCCGATGGCAGGTCGGCGCCACATCTCGCCATCCATCAGAAGAAGTCCGAAACTACACTTACGGCAATAATGACCTCAGTAGTTGGCGCGCCGGGGATCACAAACAATCGATCAATCGATTTTTTTATGCGACAATCGATCGATTTTTCTATGCGCAGGCACCAAGTTCTCCAAGCTTCATCTGACGTACCGCCTGCGCAACGCGCCGCCGCGACGGAGTCCGCTGACGAAGCGCCAGGCGCAGGCGGCGTTGCAGCGAGCGACGGCCATGTGGGCGTCCGTCTCCTCCCTCACTTTCTCCCGCGCGAGGCGCGGCGTCCCGGCCGACATCGACATCAGCTTCGAGCCGAGCGTCCACCCGCCGTGCAGCGACTCCTTCGGAGGGCCCTCGGGACATTTCGCGCACACGCAGCCGCCGAGCTCCGGGCGCGCGGAAATTCACTTCAACGCCGACAAGAACTGGACGCCCGATAACCAGGGTGAGAACACGTTTTCTTTCACTTCACGTTTCCTTTCTTTTCTTCGGCTGCGCCGAAATGTATACGTGTTATCGGATGCAATAATGATGACGATTCCGCACAGGGACTTATAACTTCCATATAAACTGTTGGAAACGGCCTTGCAACTCTCCATCAAAACAGGGGACAAAGCTCAAAGGTGCTACTCTAGGAGGCGCTAGTTTCGCCGGGTACAGCTGCAGGTTAGGCTTGCCAACTTCCGCACATAAAAATCGGCTAATGTATGAGAAACAGGGAAAGTCTGTGTTCATAATATACACATATAAGAACCTCCTGAAGAAAGTGCGAACATAAGTGCTATCTTTTGTAACGTTAAGAGCATGCTTGCGACCCGAGAATTTACGCAGCAGCCACGTACGTTTTAAGTATCGGTGGCAGCAGTTCGTGTTTTAATACTTGGAAGACGGTGCTGCTGCAGAGTGTGCCTCCGAAATGGTTTCCACCACGTTATATAGGAGTCATAAGGTCCTGGACACCAAGGCATTGTAACCATTACGTTGGCACACTGCTGCAGCACCTTCTTGCAGGAACTAACGCCTCCCGGAGTATCACTTTCGAGATTGTCCCCTGTTTTGATGGAGAGTTGCAAGGCTCTGATTACGCAAGCCGTGCGAGAATGTTATTCTCGTTCGACTGTCGACCAATCACGTTTGTCTTAGTTCGTTACACACACTGCAGAGGGTTCTGGCAGTCGCAAACAGAGGACAACAGCTCTGCGCTGTCTGTCGCAGCATGCAACAGGTGAACCACGAAACTTTATGCGAGGTACACAATATTGTCAGTGTCTCTCGCTCCTACGTCGTTCGTGTCGTAAACTTCAACTCATTAATAATAGCTATCGAGTTGAAGAACACACTATTCGCGTATTCCCTGTCACTCTTACTCTCGCCGCATTGCCTTTGACCTCTGCCATCAACCCAGCACCAATTCCGTCTCTCTCCCCTACCCATTACCCTATCCTCCCTTTTTCGCTTCTATTCACCCTCCTCTTACCCTTCCCTCTGCCTCTACGCCATACCTCCCTCCTTTTCGCTACTCCCTCCTACTCACGCTACCCTAACTTTCGCCCTCTCCATTATTCCTCCCTCCCCTACTTCTGACACTCTCTCGCCTCTGACCCTCCACATACCTCTCGTTCTTCCCCTCTCACTCGCTCCCCTATACCTATCGCCCTTACCTTCCTCTTTCCCTCCTCTACATCTCGTACTCACATTCCTCCCTTTTTTCTTTTCGCCCTCTTCCTATCTCACGCACTCTTCCATCACTCACCCCCGCGCTTTCACCAGGACCTTCCCCTCCCCTTTCCCTAGCTCTCACCCTCTCTCGCATCTTTACGTGTCTTACTTCTTGATCTGCTCTACCTCTCGCACTCCTTTCTAATAGCACTCCTACTCTTCCAACTGCTGCGTATCAGGTCCAAATTGTATATAGACGAGAATGTTATTCGTGTGAGAGTACTGGCTGCCAATTTTCCCGCTTTTCTGTGCAGGTGCAAACTTCTTTCAAGTGGCCGTGCACGAGCTGGGCCACGCCCTGGGACTGTCTCATTCCAAAGAGCCCCATGCTGTAATGTCAGTTATGCGTCAAAACTTTATATTGCACTCCGACGACATAGAAGGCATCCAGGCTCTGTATGGACAGAGCGAAAACAATGATGACGAAGACGAGGACGAGGACATAAACGGATACGGAAACGGGTACGGAAACGGATACGTATATGGAAATGGATACGGAAACGGATACGGAAATGGATACGGAAACGGGTACGGAAACGGATACGGAAACGGATACGGAAACGGATACGGAAACGGATACGGATACGGAAACGGATACGGAAACGGATACGGAAACGGATACGGAAACGGATACGGAAACGGATACATAATCAGATACGTCTACGGAAACGGATACGGAAACGGTTACGAATACGAATGTGAGTAGAACGAGTAAAGGGACAGTAATGATGACACCTATAATACATTTCGCGGCTTGTTATGACTAATGTTATTAACAGCCTAGCCCTTTTTCATTTACTATTCCACTAGTGCCAACAAAATCATAGCTACGTTGTCGCAGTAATATATCATCTTTAGATATCTAAGGCTATGGACTTTCTATATCTTTTCGTTAATTCACATTATGTGAAACCATATGGTATCATGCTTAAATTTATGACATGAAAAGTTACCTGTGAGACCACTTGTTGAGATAAAAATTTCAAAAGCAACTTTCAACTGAAATTTTTTTAGTTTAGTTGCAAGAAAAGACAATACGAAGAATAATTTGACTTTAAGATCTTCAGTATTTCCTTACTAGGTTCTAAATCAATTAAAAATTACATCTTAAAATAATAAACCCAAAAGTAAAACTTGGTCCTAAATCATACAATCTCTTTTTCGGATTCACGATTTTCACTAATAATAAAATGTTTTACTAAGAGCCAGTTGTATGATCTAGAGGTATCACCAAGAATAGTAACGGACATCTCTAAGCATTTTTCTCAGAATAAACTACTCGTCATGCTAAACGACTTTATTCTACGGATACTTTTTTTTCATTTATTTTCTTCTTATTCGGCCATGTGATCTTTCAAGGGCTTGGATACAATAGTTTATTAATTTTTAAAAATGGGCATCCTTGGCATTTTGAGTTCGGAAACGCTGTTTCGTTTTTATGGTGTACGTTTGGAATGAGCTAAGTTTAGTGTTTATTTAACAATTGCATGCTTTAATACTTGTATAAATGTTTGATTTTTTATCATATACTTAGGGATTGAAACTTATCTTTTGGGAATTTGTATTTGATGCGGCAAGGGTGCACAACATTTCGTCCTACGTTAAATTTATTTGTTAAGTGAGACATGTTGAGTGTAGTATAAAAGAATTTCGAAATTGTGGAGAGGTGATCTTTGATTAGATCTATACGTAGCTCTCCATGGATCTGGGAATTGGGTATAAACCAGGGCGCTTGTATAATTTTTCTAAGGCTTTTGTGTTGTACCGTCTGAATTGATGAGGGTGCTGTGTTCCCTCAGACAGGCATGTTAAGGTGCGTAAAATGATTGATTTAAATATCATAAACTGGCATTAAAGTTTTAACGAGGATTTTGTATTAATGGATACAGTTTTGACATTTCCCCTGAGCTTTATTTACCAATGCAAGGATACGAATAAATATGCGTTGTTTATCCGAAAGTGCGTCTCTAAAAGAGAAAGTTGCTAGTGCATTTGATAATGTTTTATAGAAGTATTTAAGCTTCGCGTCTCAAGTTTTGCACATTTCTGTCTGTTTCCACCCATTTCAAATCCACGGACGGCATGGGATTCACCCTCGCTCTGTATCACTCCATTAGTTGTTTTAGGATTCTTCCTTCTACATTTATAACTATCTGTATATCTTATTGTAACGTCGGTACAGTTTGATCATTATGTATAGTATGCTATTATGTTGTAATTGCCAATTGTATATCTACAATTTTCTCATATTTGAATGCTGCCCTGAGGATGAAATAAACATATTTGGAATCGCCGGCAAATTATGTTTTATTGTGTGAATTCTCTCCCACCAAATTCCGTGACTTACATTTAGTATTTCTATTTCATGGTCATGAATCTACAGTGATGTAAGTTATTAAAGAATACTACTTTACGAGATGGAAAAAAAATCATCTCTATTTGCATCTAAATGCTTCCTTAGGATATGACAAATATACTGATAAAAATGTAAAATACAGTATAAGTAAACAAATTTGAGTATCAAACATCATTTAATGAAAAATGAAACTTTTTACGGGACTACAATTCCAAGTGAAATTCGAGCAAAAAATCTCCAAATAACTCTGAGCAAAAATCCATTTTTCCTTTCTCAGCTAATCAACATATCAAGGCGATATTACAGTAACTGTATTTAACTGTCCATCATGTTTTCACCGTTGGATATTTCAATTTACGTGCTACGGTTCGAATTGCGCTTTCTCATTGATGGCCCCCACTCCTAAATAGATCTCATCCCCACCCTTCTTAGCGTCCTGGATTTGCACTCGCGCGACTCGCGTACATCTCCCGAGGTCAACAAAGTGCAAAATGCTCTGGAGGCCTCAACATCACTAAACTGTCGCAATGGTTCTACTCCCACTACTTCTCAGGTTAATTTAACTTGTTTCGCAACGTAGTCCGACCTCAATTTACGACAATGTTTACAAAAGAAAATGTTTCTGAACCTAGGTCCATACATCATGGTATTGATTCTTTAAGAGTCACTTCCATCTCCGCGTTCGAGAAGAAAGGAACACCGGCACCTCCTGGGATATAACATACAATATACTTACGGGATTAATGACCTTAATAGTCTACGCATATCGAATCTCTAAATATTCAATTAATAAATTTTAAAAAAGATACCTTATGAATGAGTCTAAAATATATTTCTTTCTTTCAGTCATTTATTTATCTCTTTGGACATTCCTCGATCTACATATTTTTTTGTAATTCACATGTTTCATAATTCTTTGAAAAAAAACACGATTAAATGTTGTTATTACAGATAACGTAGCTCGTCAAGAAGCAGAGATCCTTGCAGCACAATATCAATACGAGAAACTGGGGTTATGTCAAGGTCAAAGATTTATCACACACGACTCGTCACATGCAGCCTTCCCCGTCATTAGCACTGTAACAGACTTCATTTGCTTTTTTCATAGACGATTGTTATAAATCACGGGCAACACCAGGTACTGACGTAGTTCAAACATATTCTCATTGTTCCATATGTAGAGGATTAATAGATTTTTTCACTACTTCTACGAATCTATCGACATCAAACCCTAAATGTGCGCTACTGCTAGACACGGAATTGCTGTCCAGTGCGTTAAAGCGAAATGTTAAAGCGAAGAAATTGAACCTTTTAGATTACAGGTTCTTAGCAAGGGCCGTCAGCTATTAAACATTTGCTCTTTACCTGTTGCGTTGTGAAACAGCGAACAGGATATTTTTGATATTCTTGGTACGAAAGGAACTGTTGTTCTGCATATAGACTACACTATATGTTACGGACGGTTGGACAGACGTTTTGGCGCTAATCGATTTTTTAGTATCAGGGACACACCAAACGTGGATTCTACAAAAAATATTAGAGAATTTAATTTACTACATACCGGAACTAGTGTTGCGATATTATATCATAGCAATAGTTTTTTAACCGTTTTAGTGTAGTCCGGACTTTCATTTTTGCCCCATCCGCGTCCCAGATTCTATTATTATTGTCCCACCCGCGTGTCAACATATTTGATCACGGTTTTTGAATTTTTCGGTCAGATAATAATAGAACTGAGTTCCGTCTTTGAGAGAATTACAGAAGAATAAACCACATTCATGTACAAAAATTTTCATTAAATAATTTGGAACTGATCTTGAGAAAATATCATTTTCACTCAAAGCTTTAGAGCTTTCGAGAAAATCCATTATATATTTTTTGAAGCACTTGTAGTAACAAAAAATAACAATCTCGAGTGGTGTAAATGTTAACGACGTGAGTGATATATAATGAAATTTACTGTAATTTTACAAAAATATAAATATTATCCCTTAAAGGCTTTTATGGCAAATAATTTACTGCATCAAACTATTCACACAAAATATAAAAAAAACATGGTGCTGTTTTTGATAAAATCTTTTTTTAAATTTACGCGTAAACGTCTGTCTGTCCGTCTGTCTGTCCGTCTGTCCGTCCGTCTGTCCGTCTGCTGTTTGTTGTCTTTCTCTGTCCGTCGTCTGTCGCGTCTTGTCTGTCTTCGTCTGTCTGTCCGTCGGTCGTCGTCTTGTGTCGTCTGCTCTGTCCGTCGTACTGTCTGTCCGTCTGTCTGGTCCGTCTGTCTGTCTCGTGTCGTCGTCTGTGTCCGTCTGTCTGTCGCGTCTTCGTCTGCTGTCGTGTCTGTCGTTGTCCGTCTGTCTCTGTCTGTCCGTCTGTCCTCTGTCCGTCTTCGTCGCGTCTGTCCGTCGTCTTGTCCGTCTGTCCGTCGTCCGTCAGTCTGTCCGTCAGTCTGTCCGTCACGTCTGTCCGTCTGTCGTCCGTCGCTCTGTCCGTCAGTCTGTCCGGTCAGTCTGTCCGTCCGTCAGTCTGTCCGCCGTCAGTCTGTCCGTCAGTCTGTCCGTCAGTCTGTCCTCAGTCTGTCCGTTCATGTCTGTCCGTCTGTCTGTCCGTCAGTCTGCCGTCTGTTTCGTCAGTCTGCTGTCCGTCAGTCTGTCCGTCAGTGTTGTTCCGTCTGCTGTCCGTCTGTCTGTCGTTCTGTCTGTCCGTCTGTCTGTCCGTCTGTCTGTCCGTCTGTCTGTCCGTCTGGCGGCTAAACCGTTCAGCTAATTTTCACTAAAACTGACATGTTACTTGTGCTTATGCCACGGTGGCTTGAATTTGAAATCTGGGACATTTTTAAAATTTTCAAAAAATGGTTCCATTGTTTTTGATTAAAACTGGTTGGTGAATTTTGTGAAGAACGTTTAAGAAAATGGTGCACATGTAATGTTCGTTGAAAACTCTGATTTGTAGAAAATTAAAATATTTAATTTTTTTTCAGTCTTCCTAGAACTAAACTATTGAGAGACAGATTTTCCTTTAATGAAATATGTCCCTTAAAGATAGATGTTGAAGTAAGGTTATGCACAATTCGAAAGTTCTTTTCGTTTCTTTGAGTTCTTTTCGCAAAAACTTGAGCGAAAATGTGGGCTAGAAAGTACGTGCATTTTGGGCAATACTAGTTTATAATTATATGATTTTTCTGTCGAAGGATGTTATTTTATGCTACTAATGTTTGTGAAAGCTTTGATATAATTAATGTATACATTGTTACATTTTCTTTCCCTAATTAAAACCAAATACATTTTTAGCCTGCCATTCACTTTACGGTACGGTGTGAATATTGAGATTATTGATTTGATTTATTTAGTCAAAGAAGAATAAAACCTCTATATGATATATTTGGGAGAAGATATTGTTCGAACCAAATAGGCAATCTAATTGCTTGAGGAGTTAAGTTTCTTGCAAATCGGTTGTCTCATTTCTTTGTTTTCTGGGTCACGCGTTATCTCCCCCTGTCGAGACAAGTGAATCACTACACCAGTAAACGCCAAATTCTAAACATTCATAAAATGAACTTCTCTCAATGTTTCATTTAAAACAAATATATAATGTATTTCTTGGACACGCACTTTCCTGTACTGAGTTTCAAAGGACACTCTTTCTCTTACAAACACCAGCACTACACAGCCACACATGTCGGGAGACCAGTCCGACGCTTAGGGCTTGTCCGCGGTTGGTCACACTGCAGGGGGGGGGAAGGGTCCGTAAGACGAAGTGTAGGTCGAATCACACGTTGCAACAGGAGAGAAACACTGCTATCTGCGGCATCTCTCATTCCCTCTACATCGAAAAATAACGATTCAACCAAACTCGAAGCGTCGAAATCAGCGTTGAAGAGCAACAGGCGAAGAAGAAAAAAGACGCAGAGGTCACTACGATGTCAGGCGACGTCACTTGCTGGCGCCAGGCCGAGCTGACGTCACGCGTAGGCTCTATAAGAGGCGTCGCGACGCCGCTCAGCTCCACTGGACGCCGCGACGCCACCGACGCCACGAACTTTACCTAGGCCACCGACGTCTCCGGCACCACCGACGTCACCGGCACCACCGACGTCACCGGCACCACCGTCGTCACCGGCACCACCGACGTCACCGGCACCACTGTCGTCACCGGCACCACCGTCGTCACCGGCACCACCGACGTCACCGGCACCACCGACGTCACCGGCACCACCGACGTCACCGGCACCACCGACGTCACCGACACCCCTCGACGGCGGCCACTCGGCGCTCTCTGGGTACGTAAGTTTCTTTCCTCTATTTGTACTCTGGCTCCGTGAAACCTTACCCAGGGCATTGGTTGCGGAGACCTGTGGTAACAGTGGAGGCAGGTCGTTATTATATCGAATTCTCTAGACCGGAAAAGGTGGCTCAGTGCATCAACTGATGTCACTGCAGTGCCTCTGACCAATATGTCTTAAGTCGCAAGATTTTCGACACTACGAAATGTCACTAGTGTCGAATTCAGTCGCTGACTGGAGGAGAAATCTGGCGACCGGCTGCTCTGATCGGTAGCGTTCCGTGGTTTTTCCGTTCAACATCAGTTGAAAGCCGGAACAGTACCCTAACAAACGGGCCACGGACCGCTCGCGATCTTTCCTTCCTCTTCTATCTTCCCGGCTAAGGCGCTGTCACGCTGGTGGAAGATACCTGGTTGAGGGAAACCCTGGTAGCTGTAGGTACGTCGGCGCTGGACCCTCGCCATCCAGCGGGGGAAGATCACCGCCACCTCCCGAGCAAAAACATGCATGCACTACACTTACGGGACTAATGACCTCAATAGTTGACGCGCCCGGAATCAGAAACAACATAGCAACCTACCAATGCATTCTCTAGGATTGAGTACTCAGTAGTTATCTTCTGAGATCGCTCTGCAATAATTTACATTCTGTCTAAATGCGTAGTCAAGTTGGACGAGATGTCAATGCGTCGTTGTTCCACACCAACGCCGCAATTTTATCTTCTTTGGGAGGAATCACATTTGTTTTCAGAACACCGTGAGTTGGCAAAGTGTTTAGTTTGCTATAAAACATTGAGCAATTTGAAAAAAAATCGACTAATACCAACCTACCACGTTAAGAAATATGGGCATTTTAATGAGCTTGAACGAGAGAGCGAGGTACAGAAAGTTAAAAAGGGGCTTCAGCTGAAATTTCTGGTGACGACCATGCCCTTATCGACACAAACACGAAGCTACGACATCCGAGAATAGTAAGAGAGATTCTGAGAAGGACGGTGTTCTTAAACATGTTTATGACGCAGCGGAGGAACATTTATGTCATCTGAGAGATCAGACGCGTGTGAGCTCGCCACTTTCCTTGTCTCGCAGATGTCTTCCTCTCCATCAGTACGGTCCAGTAGAGGGGTAATAGTGACTAGCGCATGTTGATCAGCACAACATTAGTTCATGTTCATGTTTCGAGGTGGTCATAATATGTATCTCCCAGAAGGGGGGGATTGTGGCTGCACAGGCTGTCACGGTCTCTGGTGGCGAGTTGTGAACGACCACCCGGACTCTGAGTTTCACGGCGGCACTCACGCCGTTATGCTCCAAGATCGAGGCAGTCAGAAGGCGTTGCTAAGCCCCTGGTTCCCAGGTTTGGCCGGTAAACAACCAGTTGATCCCCAGGAGAGTCGAAACTTGGGCAGGATCTGGTGAAGGAGTCTCCTCGGAAAGCTCTGTAATTCACGTATAGAAATCCCGCTGGATACTGATAGGAGGGTTACGATAAAAGCAATGAGCTTTAGCTGCCCAACCCGGGGTTTAACGCCCACTTGTACAACAAGAAATTGTGTGCAGTGGTAGACCATGCAGGGATCAGACCATGACGTGGCGGAGTTCCCCACTCGCTACGTTCAGGCGCCGTAGGACGGGGTACTTCGTGTGTCCGCGGAAATTAGTTTATTTATTAGTACCGTAATTGTAGTGAGTCCTTCTGATTACTGGTGTCCTTCCACACTAGAAACAAGAACTGGCACCAAACTACAAGTCTGTTGGAGGGGTTTCCTCCTCCAGGCATCTCTCTTCGTGGCACTACGCCAGCGGGAAGCAGCTTTAAGCTTGCGGTTGCTCCTCCGACATTCCTGGTTGTGGAATGCTTGCAAGTGT